GACCATGCTTCCCCTTCTCCTAATTCCTTCTCACCTCACTTCCCTACCCACCCAACTTTATCTATTTCTCTTTACCCCTTTAAGCAAACAAACAAGCAAGGGAACAAATAAAAATGAAACAAAAAAAATCCCACAAAAATTCCAATAAAAAGGTGTTTGGTTACTCCCATAACATTTGTGTCAGGATTTCACCAATGTATCTTGCAGGCATGACATTGTTATAGGTAACAGGGTTAGTAGCTCTGTGATATTGATGATTACCTTTCTCCTCTGGTAGGATGCAGAGTACCTTCCAGCAGGAGTAAAGCTTCTTTTAGGCACTAGCTTGACTTTTCCTTGTTTAATGACATAAGTAAGTGTTGTCTTCAATAATAGGGCCTTACCATCAGGTTGTGGAGAACAACCAATAACCTTGGCAATAACCTGTGATGTTTGGTGGTTTCTATGGAGCACCTTTGGCCAGTGATCATCAAGATATAACCCATTCTGGTATAAGATGTCTAGGTGGGAAATTATGTCTCCTTTGATTTGGTGACACCATTTAGATTCCTTCCATATATGTAGAGATTTTAGGAACTTTCCTTTAGTATTAGCTGTTTCTCCCCTTATTTTCTCCTTTACCCTTTTCTGACAATTCCCCTCCATATTTAATTCTTCTATTCTAGTTTCATTCCCCTTTGTATGTCCATAATACTAAATTATATTTCTCCTTCCTTGAAAGAACCTCTCCTTCCCTCTAGTCCCCATCTAGGTACCTAACCTCTATGGTTATGCAAATTGTAGCACACATTTTGAAAGCTTAAAAGCTAACATCTACATAGAAGAGAAAACATACAATATTTGTCTTGTGGGGTCTGAATTATCTCATTCAGGATGATTTGTTTCTCTAGTGCTATCCATTTATCTGTGAATTTCATTTTTTTTATAACAGCTAATGATCCTCCAGTGTATGAATGTATCCTTTTTATTACCCATTCATCAATTGATGAACATTTAAAATTTCTGGTTGTTGTGAATAGAGCAATGGTGAATATGGATAGGAGGGATCTCTGTAGTAGGGGTTAGAGTCCTTTGGGTATATGCCCAAGGGTAGCACAATGGGACTTGAGGTGGGTCTATTCCCAGGAACCACAACTGAAGTATTCTCTTGTTTGATTTTTCCTTTGACGGGTACATAGTATCCTTCCGTGTCTTTTCTGATTAGCTGGTTTGAATTCAATTTTGTCATATATTAAAATTTTTACACTTGCTTGCTGCTTGAGTTCATTTGATTGCAATATCTTTATCTATTCTTTTACCATAAGGCTATGTCTATCTCTGATAGTGAGGAATGTTGCTTGGATGCAGCAAAAAGAAGGATCCTCTGTGACAGACATTAATGCTCTCCCATGGGAGGACTTGCCCTCTCTGAGGAGTGGATGTGAGATGTGGGAGGGTAGAAGGGCAGGAGGGAGAGGGAACTGGGATTGGTGTGTAAAATAAAATTATTTTTAGTTTAAATTAAAAAAAAGAAGAGATAAACAATAAAATGATCCCCCTTTCCAATCCAGTCTATTAGTCGGTGTGTTTTTATAGAGCAATTAAAGCCATTAGTATTGATAGTTGTCAATGAGCAGTATTTATTAATTCCTGCTATTTTGCTGTTATGGTATGAGTTTTCTGTCTTTTGATTTGTTGTTTTCAGAAAAGTTATTCATTGTGTCTTCTAAGATGTGATTACCCTCTTCAGACTAAATATTTCCCTATGGTGCCTTCTTTAGAGCTGTATGAGTGGATAGAAATTGCTTATTTTTTCCTCCACGAAATGCCTTTCTCTGTTGATTGTGATTGGTTGTTTTGCTGGATATACTAGTCTGGGCTGGTGTTTTTTGTCTCTTATAGCTTGTAGAGCATATTTCCAGGTTCTTTTGGCTTTCAGAGTCTCCATTTAAAAGATGTTATTCTTTTGGGCCTCTCTTTATATGTGACTTGGCTCTTTTACCTTGTAGCTTTTAATATCCTTTTGTTGTTGTTGATTCTTTTGTTTGGTTTTTACACTCAGTGTTTTACTCAGATTTTTCTTTGGGCCTCCAGCTCACAAATGATGACATAGAGACTTATTAATTATTAAAGATTGGCCTTAGCTTAGGCTTGCTTTTATCTTTACAACTTTTATAACTTAAATTAACTCATTTCTGTTAGTCTATTTTCTGTCACATGCCACATATCCTGCTTCCTCTGTGTCTCCTTCTGTCTCTTGGTGTGCCTAGATTCATCTCCCACTTCCTATCACTCTGCATCTCCTCCTTCCTAGCTATTGGCCATTCAGCTCTTTATTACACTAATTGCAGCAATACACCTTTACACAGTATACAAATATCCCACAACGTAGTGTTTTAATTATTATGTGTCCTGGGTATTTTCTTTTCTGATCCAGCCTATTTGATGTTTTGTATGCTTCTTGTGCCTTCATAGGTACCTGCTTATTTATATGGGGGAAGTTTCCTATGATTAAAAAAAAGTAATTTTCTGTGCTTCCTACTATGATTCTTCTTTGTCTACCCCTATTATTCATAAGTTTTGTCTTTTCTTAGTGTCCAAGATTTCCTGGATGTTTTTAGATTTTGCTATTGACATTACTAAAAGGCTAGAGAAGAAAGTGGCCTTAGAAAATCATACAGCTCAGTAGTACTCCATTGTGTAAATGTACCACATTTTCTCCATCCATTCTTCAGTTGAGGGACATCTAGGTTGCTTCCAGGTTGAAATTTGCAGGAAAATGGATGGAACTAGAAGAAACCATCCTGAGTGAGGTATCCCAGTAACAAAAAGACAAAAATGGTATGTACTCACTCATATATGGATTTTAGACATACAGCAAAAGATTGCCAGCCTACAATCCATATTGACAGAGAAGCTAGGAAACAAGGAGGACCCCAAGAGGGACATGCATGGTCCCCTGGAGAAGGGGAAAGGGACAAGATCTCCTGAGCTAATTGGGAGCATGGGGGGAGGGGAGAGGGAACTAGAAGAAAGAGAGGGGGAGAAGAGAAGGGGAGAGGAGGACATGAGAGAGCAGGAAGATTTAGTCAGGGGAGGAATTGAGGAGAGCAAGAAAAGAGATACAGCAATAGGGGGAACCATTATAGGTTTAAAGAGAATTCTGGCACTAGGGAAATGTCCAGAGTTTGACACCAACTAACAATCTAAGCAATAGTGGAGAGGCTACCTTAAATGCCCTTCATCGATAATGAGATTGATGACTACCTTATATGCCCTCCTAGAGCCTCCATCCAGTAGCTGATGGAACCAGAGTCAGACACCCACAGCTAAACACCGAGCTGAACTCCAGAATCCAGTTGCAGAGAGGGAGGAGTCATGAGCAAAGGTGTCAGGACCAGGCTGGAGAAACCCACAGAAACAGCTGACCTGAACAAGGGGGAGCTCATGATAGCTGGGAAACCAGCATAGGACTGTTCCAGACCCCCTGAAGGAGGAAGTCAGTTTGGAGGTCTGGTTAATCTATGTGGCCTCTGGTAGTGGATCAGTATTTATCCCTAGTATACGAATGGACTTTGGGAGCCCCCTCCACATAGAGGGATACTCTCTCAGCCTAGACACATGGGGGAAGGCCTAGGCCCTGCTCCAAGTGACATGACAGACATTGAAGATTCCCCATGGAAGGCCTCATCCTTCCTGGAGAGCAGAAAAGGGTTGGGATGGGGGGTGGGGGACAGGGGAGGAGAGGGGACTGGGATTAACTTCTAAAAGAAGCTTGTTTCTGACCACTGACCTGAACATCTGGGAACTCTTGCTCCCCAGTCTGATAGCTGGAATACCAGCATGGGACTGATCCAGACCACAGGAACATGGGTTTCTGTGAGGAAACCTCAGAAATCTATGGGACCTCCTGTAGAAGCCCAGTATTTATCCCTAGCAT